AAAACCATAGAGGACAACCACTCAAGAAAATTCCAACCTGCTTTCTATAAACATATACTATCACATGACCCAGTTATTTCACTCCTAGGTATTTATCCAAGAGAATTGAAAACATATGTTCACACAAAGAATTGAACATGAATGTTGACAGCAGCTTTATTTACAACAGTTCCAAAACAGAAACCACCTAAATATCCATCAATAAGAGAATGGATAAATAATCTGTAATATGGCCATATAATGAAATCGTACCCACCAGTAAAAAAAAATAGTAACATTAATAAATCTCAAAATAATTATGCTGAATGAAAGAAGACAGTCCCAAAACAATTCATACTGTATGATCCTACTTGTGAAATTCAAAATAATCTATGGCGGCAAAGATCAGATCATTGGTTGCCCGAGGTAGAAGGTGTTGGGGAGAGAGGAGAATGGGCTGCAAAGGGACACAAGAAATCATCTCAGAATGAAAGATATGTTCTACATCCTGACTGTGGTATGGTTTCAGGGCTGTATACAATTGTCAAAATCATCAAATTTTAAGTGGATAAAGTTTATTATAGATAAATCATTATTCAATAAAGTTGGTTTAAAAAAACAATAGCCAGAAGAGAAAATATACATTACATACAATGGTGTGAATGACAGCGGACCTCACATCAGAAACCAGTGGAGGCCAGAAGATGACAAAATGACTATCTTTATAAGTAATGAAAGAAAAAACAAAACAAAAAACTTTTTCCAACCCAGAATTATTTATCAATTAAAAATATCCTTCAGAAATAAGGGTGAACGAAAGACATGTCTGGTAACAAAAACTGAACTGGATGCTGACAGACCTTAACTAGAAGAAATATTAAAGGAAGTTTTCTAGAAAATGGGAGATGAACCCAGATGGAAATGTGGACCTTAAAATAGAAAAGCAGAGCAGTGGGGGTGTTAAGTATGTAGGCAAATAGAAAACACTATTTTTTGTGCTCCTCTTAATTGAAGTTTAAACTAACTATTAAATTTCATTATACTGTGGGATCTATAATGAATGTAGGTATAAAATACATGACAAAATAGCACAAAGGCTGGGGGCGGGGGAGGCAAACAGTTCTTTTATTTTACATGAAATGGTACAATATTAGCTCAAAGTCAACTGTGAAAAGTTACAGGTGTATATTGTAATCCCTAGATTAACTGCTAAAAAAAAACAGGTATAGGTAAAAATCCAATAAAGGAATGAAAGTGGATACTAAAAAATAGTCAATTATCAAAAGCAATTAGGAAAAGAGGTACAGAGAAACAAAAGGGAAAATCGCAAGATGGCATACTTAAACACAGCCATATCAATGATTAATTATATTTAAATGGACTAAATACTCCAATTAAAAACCAGAAATAAAGTGGCTAAATAGCCAGACCCAACTATATGTTGTCTACAAGAACTGCATTGCAAATATAAGAACAGGGTGAAAACTAAAGGAAGAAAGCAGATATATCATGCAAACAATAAGCAAAAGAAAGATCATGAGGCTGTATTATTATCAAAGTACACATCAAGTCAAAGGGTCTAAGTAGAGACATTTCATAATGGTAGAAGAACAAAGAAGATATACCAATTATAACTGTTTATGTACCTAATGATAGAACTTCAAAATGCATAAAGCAAAAATTGACGGAATTAAAGCAAACAATAAACAAATTCACAATAATATCTGAAGAGTTTAACAACCCATTCTAAGTAATTGGTAGAAAAACCAGAGTAAAAAAATCAGTAAGGATCTATAAGACTTGAACAATATTATCACACTAACTTGATATGACCAACAATTATAGAATATTATCATCAACAAGTACAGAATAAACATTCACCAAGAAAGAATATGCTGAACCATAAATTCAATAAAATTTAAAAATTGACATTCTACAGAGTAGTCCCTGACTACAGTGGAATTAAGTTAGAAATAAAAAAAAGGAAAATTAGAAATGAATAGCAAAGAAAATATGCTATAGCAAAATTGGTGGGATAAAGCCAAAGCAGTGCATAAAGAGAAATTTACAGCTTTAAATATTTATATTTAAAAAAAGGTTTAAAACCAATAGTATAAGTTTCTTACTTCAGAAAAAGAAGATTAAACTCAAAGTATAATGGAGAAATAATAAAAATAAGAGGAAAAAAGTCACTGAAATAGGCAACAGAAAAATTACAAAGCAAAAAATTAGGTTTTTGAAAAGATTAATAATATTGATAAATCTCTAGCAAGATGATCAAGAATAATGGAGATAAAACACAAATGACCAATTTTAGGAATGAAAACTGAGCCATTACTGTAGATTCTACAGACAAGAAGAAAGTAAGGTGTGTAGATTTGTATTATGTTAACTTAAGCAAAGCTGTAATTTCATTTCCCAGGATTTACATTGCATAGCTCTGGTTCAGTGTGGACCACATGAGTCATTATGGGTGAAATCTGAAAGAAAGTTGGTTCAGGGCGTGAAGTGCATTTGCAGTTCAAGCATACTGTCACTTATCTTCTGACTCACCCTACTAGTATGGAGCAGCTCCTGCCAGATTTCCTCCTTCAGCTTTTTTGACTCCTTAGCCAGGTATATATTTAGTACTGTTACAACAGGACACCCCAATCATCAAAGTTGGAAGTCTCAGAAGCAATGAGAGCCCAACATGGGTTCCAGTCTATCCTCCTGAGGTTCCAGTTCATCCACAAAGGTTATACTTTGTCCTTGTTTCCACCACTTCATCTTCTCTTCCCGACTGCCCTCACTATTGACTTCAGGCTCCAGAACCAGACATGAAATCAAGAGCCTCACATAAACCCTTTAGTCAGCTTGTATGTTTGTATTAGGTCAAATCCCAATTTGACAATTTAGAAGAAATGGACAAATTCTTTGAAAGACAAGCTACCAAAGCTTACTCAAGAAAAAATAGAGGGGCACCTGGCTGGTGCAGTTGGTTAAGTATCCGACTCTTGGTTTTGGCTCAGGTCCTGATCTCAGGGTCGTGAAATTGAGCCGCACATCAGGCTCTGCACTCAGCAGGGAGTCTCCTTGGAGTTTCTCTCTCCCTCTGCCCTTCCCACCCCCTGCTCTCTCTCTAAAATAAATAAATAAATCTTTAAAAAAAAAAAAAGAAAAAATAGATAACCTAACTAGATAGCCCTATACTTATTTTTAAATCAATGGAACAGAACAAAGAACTGAGAACTAGAACCCACACATACGTAGCAAAACAATTTTCAACAAAGGTGTCAAAATAACTCAATGGAAAAAGAAAACTCCTTTTAACAAGTAGTGCTAAAACAACTCGACATATATATAAAAAAAAAAGTGAAATTCAATCTCTGACACTATATACAAAAAATACTTCAAGATGGATCATAGATTTAACTAAAGTTTCTAAAAGAAAAATAGGAGAAAACCTTTGCTCTTCGGGGTAAGCAAAGATCTCCTATGACAAAAAAAGTGCTATCCGTAAGAGAAAAACTTGACAAGAGAACATCATCAAAATTAAAACTTCTTATCAATAGACACCATAAAGAAAATTGAAAGGCAAACCAAACTGGAGGAAAATATTCACAATGCATATCTGATGAAGAACTACATAGCATTAATAAAACAACAATAAACTAATTAAAAACTGAGCAAAGGACTTGAAAAGACACTGCACAAAAGATATACCAATGACCAAGAGGTACACAAAAAAGGCACTCCACATAATTAGTCATTAGAGAGATACAATTTAGTAGGATGACTAAGATTAAAATACTGACCATACCAAATGTTGGCAAGGATATGAAAATACTGGACTTTTCATTCATTGATGGTGTAAGTGTAAAATGGTACAACCACTTAGGAAAACAGTTTGAGTATTATAAAGTTAAATATATACATATCTACCCTAGGACCCACCTATTTTATTCTGCTATATTACTGAAAAGAAGCAAAAACATTCATCCATAAAAAGATCTGTACAAGAATATTTATAGCTTCATTCATAATAGCCCCAAACTAGAAATAACTCCAATGTCCATCAAAAAGGAATAAATTGTGGTATAATCATTTCAAGAATAAAATACCAATACATGTAACCACATGGATGAATCTCAAAACATTATGTTGAGTGACAGTAACAGACACACAAGAGTACACATGTTATGATTCCATTTATATGAAGTTTAATAATAGGTAAAACTAATCTATGGTGATAAAAATCAGAAAAGGTTAATACCTATTTAGGGTTTGAATTAATTGGTAGAGGGCACATAGAAACTTCATGGGGTGACAGAAATATCCTACATCTTGAGTAGGGTATTGATTAAACAGGAATATTCATTTGACAAAACTCACGAATTACACACTTAAAGATTTATACATTTCATTCCATGTAAATTTTATCTCAGTATAAAAAGAAAAAAATTCACTTCTGAAAATTTCAAGTCATCAATAGGATGAAGTTATATTTTTCAAAGCAGCATATTTTTAAGAAAATCCCAAGAGAACTTTATTTTCAATCACTTAAGATTTAATGAGGACTTTAAATTTAAAAGTAAAGCTTTAGATATCCTATCAAATTTATTAACATGAATACTGCTCTCAGGGCGCCTGGGTGGCTCAGTCATTAAGCATCTGCCTTCGGCTGAGGTCATGATCCCAGGGTCATGGGATCAAGCCCCACATCGGGCTCCCTTCATCAGGAAGTTTGCTTCTCTCTCTCTCCCCTACTTGTGTTCCCTCTCTCGCCGTGTCTCTCTCTGTCAAATAAATAAATAAAATCTTAAAAAAAAAAAAAATACTGCTCTGAATATAAGAACTGCTCTGAAATGTAAGGAACTTCAACGGAGTACTACTGTGGCCTTTCTTTCCATCTATTACAAATTGGTTTTGTGAGGTTATAAACTTTAAGCAGAATGCCAAACAACTAAAGACTTAAAGAAATAGAAAAACGTAACAGGAAGAAAAAAAAAGAAAAATATAGTAAAAGGAAGGCATCATACCTGTTGGGAGAGGTATATATATCCTTTTTTCTAATCTCCTTCTCAAAGCTTCATCAATGTCCCATGGGAAATTAGTAGCAGCCAATACCATAACCATCTTGGAAGGATCATCATTCTCTAAAGCTCCTCCAACTCCTATACACAATTAGGGGAAAAGAAGGCATTTTCCTTAAAGTCCTTTATTCTCTCATTCAACTAACGTCTCTAAGCATCAGCCAGAGGTTTTGTCATAGGCTCAATGACGGAAATAATGCAGTCCTTCTGACCTCTGTATGGTGGCAGAACCAGACACACCAACAGGTAACTATAAAACAAGGAGGCAATAGAATTCATATAATCTATTACAGGATTCTAATCCAGTAAGAAAAACCATTTTTTTTAATAAGAAAATGAGTGTATAATTGCTCTGAAAAGGCATGGGAGATTATGCTGTTTTACTCCTTTTTTAAATCATGAAGTCCCTCAGAAAATTTTTATTTTAGTTGTTAGTCTAATTTATTTTCTCAAGAAGGAAGAACAGAAGAAGGTTCACATTTGCTAATGTACTAGCAAGCAATCATAATATGGCAGGATATACTGCAATAATTTTATCCTTCAAACTTCTAAGTGACTTGGAAAAAACAAAAAATCTGAGAATGAACCTAATAATCATCACTACTGAAAATATCATTTCTTTTTATACCAAACCAAACATATATACCTTGAGTCTACTTTTTCAGAATTAAAGTTTTAGAATAAAAAGTTTCAGGTTACACAATGGAAACTTTGGAAAATGTGCAGTAAAAACAAACAAACAAGCAAAACAAAACTCACAAACTTTATTACTAAGAGTTTCTAGTTGTGGCCTGGCATAACAAAGTAGTGAATTTAAAGCAACCCAGTTCAATATGGTATTTTCTTAATAAATTATTACCAAACTCCTGTTTCAATCATTATCACAAAGAATCAAGCTATGCAACTAATAATCCCCAACAGTAGTCACAAACACCCCTTGATGAAATTCAGCTGACTAAATTTATATTCAGTGATATTTTTAAAACATCTAATGTATTTCTCCTCTAGATCCCTCCCCCAAAATATACTTCAGCAGGAATTAAAATGATAAACTCAGGGAGGGCAGGGACTCATATACTACACTGCTTTATGCATCCTTACGGTGCCTGGCACTACATAACACACACTGTAAGGATTCAGTAAGTATCCACGGTTGCTCTAGAACCATAGCTGTTTTGAAACAACACATTCTGGGTATTTTGTTTTAACACATTTCACATTTGCCACGCAACTACCAGAATAATAAACCTCTGAAGGCAGCTCTGGCCCATCACTCTCTTCCTTCATTGCCACTTCTTTGGATAACTTCTACCAAAGCTTCAAAGCCCAACTTGGCTGTTCCCTTCCATGACTCCCTCAGTCTGGGTGGTACCTCTCCTACTGTGTCTTCACCACACCCAGAGTTTAGTTCTACCACACAATTTAAAATGTATTGTTAAGTTGCCTGCTTCCCAACTAGATCAGTGGTTCTACTTTTTGGTTTCATGATATGTTGTCTATACTCTTAAAAAATTACTGAGCTCCAAAGAGCTTTTGTGTGTGTGGAATACATCTATCAATATTTACCATTAGAAATTAAAACTGAGAATTTTTTAAAATATTAATTCATTTTAAAGTAACAATAATTCTAGTATTTGTTAATATAAATAACATTTTATGAAAAATAACTGATTTTCAAAACCAAAAAAAATTTAGTAAGAAGAGTGGCATTTTCCTACATTTTTGTAAATCTCTTTAATGTGTGACTCAACAGAGAACAGCTGGGTTCTCTTATCTGCTGCTGCTTTCCATCTATGATGACATCCCAAATGTCTTGCAGCCTCTGAAACACTCCACTGTATTCTTGTGAGAGAATGAGAGCGAAAAAGGGCAAATAATGTCTTGATATTATCATGAAAATGATTTAGCCTTCGCAGACCTTTTAAGAGGGCCTGAAAGATCCCTGGGGCCCCGGACCACATCTCTGGAAGCTCTGCAGTCCTAGTAAAGTCCTTACCAGCCATGACATTCCTTTTCTTTGTAACCTCAGAACCTGAAATGGCATGTGATTCATAACACATATGCGGTAAATGCTATCTGAGTGCATGAACAAACTGAACAAGTGGGTGGATGAACAAATGATTACAAATAAATTCAGGCTGCCTTCGAGTCCATTCACTGAGAATTTCCACAATATGAATCTACCCAAAATTCAAAAAGGAAATACAACAGTTTGGGGACAGTAATTAAATATCAATTACCATCCATCTGAATGAGTAGTTCAGACTTGACTCTGCGACTTGCCTCATGTTCATCAGAGGTTCCTCTTCGACTACAGATAGAATCTATCTCATCGATGAAGATGGTGGTGGGCGCATAAAATCTAGCCTTTGTAAAAAACATTTTAAAGAAACCATTCAATGAGCTCATAAAACAATCTGAATTTTTTAATGCCATTTCCTCCTCCTAAAACAATGGTTAAAAAAAGAGCAGAAATTTCTCACTTGCCACCATTTGGCTACTGACAGAGATTAAATCATTTACATCAGAAAATGGAAATTTCTAAAAATAAAAGATGGTTGGTGAAGGTGGGTGACAGATACATGGGGATTCATAGTACTATTATTTCTACTTTTTTGTTTGGAAATTTCCATAATATAAATCTTTTTAAAGATAAATCATCCATCTCTATCTTCCAATATATATTCTTAAATAGCTACTGCAAGTACCTTATGAAAAAAGAACAAACTTTAATGATAGATTGATTTCTAATTTTTAAAACATATACTAAAATATACTCTGCTCAACCAGCTCATTAGAAATCCAGAAATATCACACCACACACATTTCCAAAGTGTCTTCCACCCTCACTGGATAGGATGCCAAAGGGCCTTCCCTTACCTCAGAGAGGAAGAAACACTGAAGACACATCAACTACTCCACAAAATCCACCATCCCATACCTTACTCATGTGTCAGGATGAACTGTTCAACTACAACTCCATTTGCCCTTTTAAAAACAGATCCCTAAGTGAATGGATATAAAAGGGGTATCATCTGCCTACACAAACAGTACTTTGAAATCTGCATATATCCTCACTTACCATTTCAAACAACAGACGGACTAACTTCTCAGATTCACCTCTATATTTAGATGTCAGTGTAGAAGAGGAAACGTTGAAGAATGTTGTGCCACATTCAGTGGCAACAGCTTTAGCTAGCATAGTCTTACCAGTGCCTGGGGGTCCAACCATCAGTACACCCTGAAATTTCAAAAGCTGTATTAAATGTTTTATCAGATTAAAATGCATTCTTATAAAATATCATCAGCTATTGATGTACATAAAAATTTTCCCATCAAAAGATAAGCTCAACTGTCACAGCAAAATCACGGTGTATTTGACATAGTATCATTTCACAGATTTAAAAAAATGACTGATTTCACAAAACATCTCAAATCAGAGGTACTTAGAGATGGGCTAACAAAAGGCCCAGACAATAAGAAATCTTCTAATACATTGAGAAAGAACCTACCCAATTTTCTTAAACCTGGAAGAAGATAAATATGTACAGTTTTGAGCATGGCTTAAGAGTGACTGCTCTGCTTAAACATAATGAAAGTCAGACATTTTCTACCACATCTCGTAGAACTATATATCCCTTACCCTCCTAAGGGACAAAACCTGTCTTCCACAACACATAATACACAGTTTTTAATCAAAAGTAGAAATCCACTTATTAGTTACTAAGGTAACTAAAAATCCAGTGGCAATTCAAGCGTAATCAATTTAGCTAGCATGTTATCAGCTTAATGTGCTTCACAATTAATAGTTTATATAAAATAGTGTTACTGATGAAAGAGCCACTAAATATAGACTAAAAACTAAATTTTAGTTACTTCTCACTTTGAAAACAAAAAAACTCTTCTGTAAAAATAAGTCAATAAGGAGTAAAAGTTCTTCAAGAAACACCAATCCTCTAGTGTTGAAGACTACTGGATATTCAAATACTCAGTATTTTCTTCTTCCAGTGGGAGTTCAAATACAAAGTTAATACTACATGTTGTGTGTGTATGTGTATTAGTTGGTGATCTTTAAAAGAATTCTGTCCCATTTATTAATTTAGTTTAATAAGCTTCTGGGGATTTAAACTTTGAAAACTATGCACACATAAAGTTTCACAAATTCAGAAACTGTCTAAACCCTTTTCTAGTGTGAAAATTAATGAAAGGAAAACTCCTTTAAAATAGAGCTGCGAGGCCAGAAGGGGGAGCTCTCATGCCCTACAACTCTTAGTCAATTGCAGACCCAACTGGAAGAGACCAGCCTTGCAAGTCTATTCTACATTAGCTACTTCACCACCCCAGCAGGAGGAAGAAAGGTTTTTCTCCTGCCCTGGCAACAATGAGAGAGTGTCAAAACCCAGCCAATGAAAAACCACTACACTTGAACCTCACACTTTATTCCAGTAGACTTTTTCTTTATTACAGCCCTCCCAATTTCCCCTTTTCTCTATAAAGAAGTGTTCTTCTCCTTTGTTCCTGAGACTTGCCTATGGTTCTGCCATAGCTTGCGTGTCCCAAATTGCAATTCTCTGCTATTCCCAAATAAACCCATTTTTTGCTGATAAAATAACTGACAAATTTATTTTTAAGGTTAACACTAGCTATAGAATTCTGACACCCAGAAAGAGGATTTGAAACACTACTTTTATAAATTTTTTTTTGCTTTCCAAGGAGCTTATAACTGTGAATGAGATGGATATTTTGAAAACTGTAAAAACAACTAATGGTATAAGCACAGCTATAGCAAAATTCATTCTTTCTCTAATGTCCCCTTTGAAGGCCCTCTCAGCTCCTGTAATGTCTTTCATGTGGCCACCTCTAATATGAGTTAATTTCCAACACTGGCATCTGTACATAGATAAAATCACACAGTATTTATAAATTTCAGCTCCTCGTGACATTACTCTTTCAATTATCTCCTCTATTTCCTCTCTCCTTCTGTACTGGCTCCTTCCCTCAGTATATAAACATACTTAAATCTGTCCTGTTTAAAAAAAAATCCTTCGCTTGACCCTACAAATCCTCTAGATACTATCCACTTCCTCCCTTCTCAGCCAACCTTCTTAAAGAAATGGTTCATACTTACTATTTTTTATGAGCTACAATCTCACTTCTGTCTCCACTAATTCACTAAAATGACCTAATTTACTAATCCAATGCTCACTTTTCAACTTATATCTTCTTTCCTTCTCCCTGACCCCTGACCTGATGTTCATTCCCTTCTTCCAGAAATGCTTTTGCCCTAGGTTCTAAGACACTGTTCTCCCCTGCTGCTCCTCCTACTCATGACTCTCTTCAGTGCCTTCCAGGTTTCCTCCTCCCCTGCCCTCTACATTCTCAAAGCAATTCCAAGCTTCTTGCTCTTTTTCCTTTATAGACCTCCTTGAACAATCTCATCCACACCTATATTATTACAATTTTAATTTAAATTCAAACTCTATCCTAAGCTCCAGACCTCTATTTCCAATTACTTGCTGAGTATTTACCTAAACATATTTTGTTTCTATTTAAACCTGCTCATCTTCTCAATTTCCAGTATCAGTTCACAGTGTGCACCCTGTTTAATAAAGAATTTGGCTGGTCTTTTTCCCCACTTCCTAGGAAGTAGACTAGAAATCCTTGGAATTACCAAAGTAACAGGAGTGTTTTTGTTGTTCATTTGAACCGTGAAATTTTATGCTGAGGTGACTCATGGTGGGCCCCTATAGAGTTTATGCTAATGGGATGATTCAAGATGGTGGCCTGCCTTGCCAGAAAAACCAACCATGGGATTAGAGGGCTGGACCTTGAGTCATATGATACCAACTAGACCGAGAGAGAGAAAGGAGACTGGAGACGGAGACACATGCGCAGTGATTCAATCAATCATGACTCTATAATGAAACCCCAATAAAAACCCTGGACACTGAAGCTTGAGTGAGCTTCCCTGTTGGCAATACTCTATGTATTGTCACACATCCATGCGCTAGGAGGGCAAAGCATCCTGATTCCACGGGCAGAAAACAACAGACGCTTCACTTTCAGCATCCTTACAGATCTCGCCCTGTGCATTTTTTCCTTTGGCTGGCTCTGATTTGCCTCCTTTTGCTAGGGTAAAACTAATTTTAAGTACAGTATTTTCTTAAGTTCTGTGAGTCATTCTAGAAAATTACCAAACCTAAGGGGGGTAGTAAGAACCCCCAAATTTACAGCCAGCTGACCAGTAGTTAGGGTGACCTGGGGATGCCCAAGTTTGCATTTGGCATCTGAAATGAGGACAGTCCCATGGAAAAGTGCCTTCAACCTGTAAGGTTTGGTCCAATTTGGGGTTGCTGGTGTCAGGAGTAATTGCACACTCCTTCAAGCCTGGAATTTGGGAGTCATACAACTTGTCCCTCACCCTATAAACACTCAGTCATAATGTTATCATTTACATTTTAAACATCTCTCACAAATCCACCCATTTCTCACTAGTCAAATAACAAATGTCTTATTTCAGGTTCTCATTGTTCAGCTCGACTATTACAACAGCCTCCTTCATCAGATTCCTCACCTATATCCACCTATGCCCATCTCCAGTCCATCCTTCACACTGCTGACCAAGGTGATCTTTCTACATGTGCAAACCACCTTCCCGATAAAGACTTACAGGGCTCATCATGATAGAGGTAGGTTATACCTACCAAGCTCAGTGTCTTAAAACTCCTTTAAATACCTATTTTAAGACTTTTTTTCTCTCTCTTTTAAATACTGTTTTAAAAGTTAAAATAAAGATGGTAATGTTACCAAAATTAGGTAAATCTATACCAGTCTATAAAAGTTTTTAAGTTGTAGAAGACAATCAAAATGCCATGAATATTCCAAGCTATTTGTGTAAATATAAAATCTCTCCTCCTCTTTACTTTTAGGTGTGTCAAAAGAGGAAGAGATACTGAGAAGGGAAACAGCCTTCCTAGCTAATTCAGAAGGGCAAAGTAAAATCATGGTTTTATTTCACTCTACCAATCAGATTAAAGGAAGCCTTTGCCTATGACTAAGACCAAAAAAAATTTCCAGGCAGCCATTGTTAGAAGGGCTTTTTAATATGCTAAAATAAAAACAATGGATTTAGGAACTAGTCCTAAGCAGGCTTTTTACTCTAAAGTGGAAGGCATGTCTGAGAATAATATCAAGACTAAATGAAGTGATCAAAGCAATTAATTAGTGAGAAATATGCCAACTTTCAGAAAGGTTTATTTGATCAAATTCTATAAGACTATCTACTATTTAATTTCCTTCTTAACTTATTTACAGAAACAGACATCTAGAAAATTCTTAAAGCTAATCTCTAACCCGGCAAACCTGAGGGGAGTGACTTAACTAAAGACTGTAGTTTCAACACTCTGTTCCTCTGAGAGACAACACATCTCAACTACAAATTCAAATCCAGGTATTTAGGATGTACAAAAACCTCCTCCAATCTTTACTAACTTGGTTAACAAACACATTAAAAAAACCACAATGCTGTCACTCATGATCACGCAAGCATCATTTTTATACCTATTTTATTTTAATAAATGCTCACCTTCCATGGCCTTCTAATCCCTTTGAAAAAGTCAGGCATCCACATTGGAAGGACAACAGCTTCCCTTAGCAACTTCTTAGCTTCTTCCAGATCTGCTATGTCATCCCTTTGCAAGAGCAGCAAAGTTTCATGTTTATTCACGGATACCAGATACGGTCAATACTAATTTTTTTAATTTTTTATTTATGAAATTATATTAAGAACACTATTTTAATTAATACTGCATAAAATGATCAGTGAAAACATACTGCAGTTATTAATTAGGATATGTTATTCACTTAACAACCTTTGTCATTTATGTAAACATCAAGTTAACATGTAAAATGTCTTGGTTAGATTTTGAAAGAACTGTCCTGTCAATTTTACACATGCATTTATTATGATGAAATCATAGTCATAGATAATAAGAAAAGATTCACACAAGGCCAACCAATAACTTGTTTTCTCTGCTGCTTTAATTCAAGAACTTAAAAGACTTACCAATGAATGCTAGGATTCCTGGACACAATGTCTCTCTCAAGCGCTTCCACTAGATCCTTATCATACCCAGCACCATCAAATTTAGGAATTTCACCATCACTTGCCCCATCTTGCATATTCTTCCTTCCCTGTAGACAGGTATAAAAAAGTACTGGTCAATAACAAGATAACTTTAACATCATTGAGCTTTCAAAATATTATAATGTAATCATTTTAAGTAATTTTTCATTATTTTAAGATAGAGTTTTCTGATTACCCAAATGCCATCCTCCCCTGTTTATTTCATCAGAAACAGATGAATTGGCCAACTTTATTACACACTTCTTCACATTTACATCCTTGGGGGTACAGTTTCAAGTAAGACTAAAATGATCCTTGCTAGATACTTCTGAATTTGTGGATGCAGGGAATTCCCACCACCACCAAAGAATATACAGAATATTAATGCAGAGGAGGAACATTAATTTACTGAGAACCTACTACATGACAATAAATCTCACGTATATTATCTCATTTAATACTCACAATAAGGTAGGTATTGTTTTACAAATAAGGAACTGGGACTCAGGTGAAGTACCTTAATCAAGTTCATAATTATTAAATGTCAGAGCAGAGATTTTTATGCAGCTCTTCCTGACTCCTCAAACCTATGCCCTTTGCACAACATCAGACCACCTCATGCCTAACTAAGTCAGCTTAAAGCTTAAGTTACAAACTACGAATCCTCCAAAGCCGAGAAAGAGGCTGCAGATGAGGAAAGCCTTGGGACTCTGAACTGCATCTTACAAAGCCTTTTTCCTGTTACTCTAAGCACCTCCCAGGATTCAGGTTTCTTCCCAGTAAAGTCCTTGGACCACATCACAAAATCACTGCAATGATAATGGTAAAAGGACCTTTTTAAATAGTATTATTAAGACCACTAAAGCAGTATACTTTACCCCAAATTCTTTATTTAACAATATGGTGGCTTAAAAAAAGAATTACATACTCTGGTTTCTATGGGGTTCTGCTAAGATTTACTCAGCTTTGAAGAGCTTTAAATGAAATGCGCTCAGTTGCTAGAGATAGTTCAACCACTGGAACTACTTCAGGAGACAGAGCCAAATACCTCCCTAGAGCTTCAGCCCCACAGTTACTGTCTAATACAAAAGTGAAAGGGAAAGTGGTCAAAAAAATGCGTGAATTTCCTAAGCTTAAATCTGAAGAGAGAAAAGAATGAACCTCTCCTACCACACGTCATCTGAGATTAACCATAGGCTTGACCATAAGTGCTGACAGGGGACTAAATGGCTCCCCTTGGGCAAATGCTTGAGTTCATTAAGCCCCTAGGTAAATGACCAAACAGTAGTCTTGATGCCTTGACCCAAAAAATGAATAATTTACTGTTTCTGGGTAGCACAGTGACAATATTAAGCTAAATTTTCAGAAAGATTCTTGTATTTCAGATGATAGATACCAATAGTGACACTATCAAAAAGAGTACATTTCTGGCATACCTAACACAACAAACATAATATCTACAAATTTAAAATAAGCTCAGCCTAGAATCACACTTTATAATACAGGGAGGACAAGGCTACAAAGTCACATTCAAACAAATCACTGGAAATTCTCTGTAATCATTTTAAAAACTCTTCTAAAAATAAGTCAACTAAAGAATGCAACAGAAACCAATATATCTGGGACTTAACATGCCATGATATGGCATTGTAATTTAGACTTACCAAAAAATTATTAAAAAATATAAGTAGACATCCATTTTAATATGAATGCCCAAGTGGTAGGAAAGACATGATAAACACTGCCACGGGAAAGAAAAAGCTGTACACGTATCTCTAAGTAGTAAGAATCAGAGGATTTAAGAATAACCATGTGAGTATCTGTCTAATACATTGCATTGTGCATTAGGTTTTATCAGTGAATGAAAATACACTATCTGCCCTCATTGAGCATCTAGTCTAGTAGGGGAAACAAGTAACAAATGAACAAAACAAAAACACATATAATCAAACTGTGAAATGCTATGAAAAAAAAACTAAGTGGTCTGTATGGCTAAGAGGTACTGAACAAATAAAACAGACTGGAGAGACAGGCAGAGGCCAGATCACCTAGTCCCCTATAGGCTACAGGGAGGAGTTTGGATTTTACTCTAAATGCATCGGGAAATTTTTGAAATATGTTAAACAGGGGAATGACAGGATCTGATTTATATTTTTAAATGACCCTTCTGCCTACTGTGTGGAAAACGGATGGGGTAGAGGGAGAAGTAGAAGCAGAGAAAGAAGAGCCTGTGTTATAGTACTCAAGGTCAAGCCTTTCTTCACAGAAGAGAAAATGTGGGTGTAAGCCAATAAAATGACTTGCTCTAGAATCCAAAGTTTATCAAAGGTAGAGATGAGATTTGGATACAACCTAAGTACTCCAAAAAAGATTCTAGGAACTCTTCCAAGTCAAAATGGTGAGGTTATTAAAAAACAAATTTAGATAAACTAAAAATAATTAATTTGGTGACATTGGGAAATCAACAAAATGGGTGACCATTATCCTTCATAACAAATACTCTGATAAATTGGAATAGGGATATCAAATATAAGTAATTGTGGTCTCAGTTAATGAGCTAGATTAACTGTAACACTTAAAAGAGACTTTATTTCAAGCAATAAAGATAACCTCACCCAAGATACCACCTGAACAGTTTATAATAATAATAATAATAATAATAATAGCTGCAATAACACTGAAATGATCTTAGAAATCTTTGCTTAGATTTTCACATTAATTGACAAGGGTCAACATTAGCAAGAATTTGATATTTAGCATGAAGTCTGACAGACCTTTTTCCTCATTAAAGCAAATATTTTAGCATCTTTTTACTAACATCTAAATTACCCTTATCAAGGAAAGGTTTGATAATGATCTTTCATTAGTATTGGCTAATCATTCTATGTGAAAAAAATGAGGCTAAAATTAGTGACTAACCCAGTATTATATAAAGTCAATTAATGACACACGTTGGCCTAAAGCACAAATGATGGTTTTTTACATTTTATTGCATGTCTTCTCACATTGGCAGATTAAGTGAAAGATGGTCAGTTACTAGCTCTGGGTCTTGCATTTCAAGTGACAAGTGAATTGCACCCAGAGAAGAATATCCAAGGCAATGAAAGATTCAAAAACCACATCATCTAGAGGAGGATCAGGGACACTAGAGACATTTAAGCTGAAGAAGAAAACACTAATGGAGCCACATGACCAACTGACCTATTTACCTCTATTTCCTCTATATTATTCCAAACGAAAGAACCAGGACCAATAGAAAGTAAGAAAAGATATAAATTTCAGATCAGCAAAACAATTTTCTAACAATGAGTTCTGTCTACCAAAGGGATCATTGCTCTTATTAGGCTGTGAGCTACCCAACATCAGAATTACTAATTAGTAATAAAAAAACCACTGGCCCACAGTCACAGGGATGTCCAAGCTCATCTCAATTCTGAGCTGAGCGACATCATGTTGGTAGCTTGAAATGGGTCATAGAAGTATTTATATCACAGAAATCAGCTGATGCTACAAATCAGGGCTTGATTTATTGTTTTGTTAATGGTCTAGACTTAAGAAAATAATGGGGAAGATGTTAGTAATGCTGAGGATACTTAAAAGTATGCCATTTCTGTAGCTGTTACATTGTAAATAGTACAAAAATTAAGGAAATATTTTTCCAGTATTTGAAAACTATTAACTGCTTCACGAAAGTTGCTCAAATAATTGATGAATGAGTGAACTACCAACATGCATTTCTATTGTTTTACTTTCATCTGACTCATTAATTGAAAAAAAAAAAAAAACCAACCAACATTCGTGTCAGAACTACATCTTTATTCAATTGTTAACTGCAACCATAGGTTGGCTACAGATATAAGAGCTGAGCAAAAGTCAGCAAAGGCATTCTGTGAGAGTCCATTCGCTCTACAGAATTTACAATAAAGAGCACCATATATTTATTTGTAAATTATGACATCCTTTATATCAGTCAGATTTATAACAAACGTGTGAATGTGTATATACACACTTTTTTCAGAAAACTAGTTATTGAACATTTACCAATACACTGCTAGTTAGATGATCATCGTTCACCAAATAGTACCCCATATGACAGTATCCTTTTCTTCATAAGAAAAAGAAAAGTTTTTCTCAACTCACTGTTCATTTGTATAATCACTTATCAACAGTTCTCAATCCAGTTTACAACATCTCTCCACATCAGACATCCCTAGACTTACTCAGTGATGAGAAGGAAGGTATTCAGAAAGGGCCATTTGTTACATGTAATTCAATGAAATGAATTCCTTTAAGTTTAATAACTTTAAATCAATTCTATTAACATAATTTATCATACTTCAATCTGAATTCTATTTAAAAACATATATACATAGCTTTAATCATGAGATCATAGTGGAAGCACTGCTCATTTCGCTAAGTTAATTAACCATAAAGTCATAGTTTTAAAAATACTTGAGAATCAGAGTTTTATGAGTTAACTTTATTTTTGGTTATAATACAAAAACATTTCCTCTGCTACTTAATATTTAATTTTAAACCATCCTTTTTCAATTTAAAAAAATGCATTTGTTATTTCTATGTGTATTTCTATACTGACTCTAGGCTTAAGTAGTTAAACAGTAATACATCAAATTTTCTCAGGTACATTCAAATAAGACTGAAAAATATAGCTGTCAAGGTTAATTGATTCATCTCACTCCCTCTCATCAATAAGAAAATAATCAACGTGCGGCCAGGAGTCACATTTTATTAAAGTCTCTATTCCCAGTACCTGCAAGTATGACAAACACAAAGTACGCACATAATAAAGGTGTGTTAAGTAAACAAGGTAATGAACCTGCTTTATGATGACTCTGTGGACCTCAGGGAGAGAAAAACTGTAAGGGCTGAACAACAGATCACTATACAAAGTGATTGTTACTTATTGAAAAACAGTATTTTTAAGCTTGGACCCAACTTGAAGCCCGTCAACAGTTTAAGAAAAAAAAAAGAGGAAAGAAGATTTAATCACTCCCAGAAAATGAACTGGAACTCTTACAAGAAACAGGTACTGATGATACATTAAAATAAGATGCTAAGCATTTTCAAATAAGAGGCTATATAGCATACTGATTAAAAGCTCAGGTGTTAGGGGCGCCTGGGTGGCTCAGTCGTTAAGCGTCTGCCTTCTGCTCAGGTCACGGTCCCAGGGTCCTGGGATGAAGCCCCACATCTGGCTCCCTGCTCAGCGGGAAGCCTGCTTCTCCCTCTCCCACTCCTCCTGCTTGTGTTCCCTCTCTCTCTATGTCTCTATCTGTCAAATAAATAAATAAAATCTTTTAAAAAAAAAAAAAGCTCAGGTGTTAAAGAATTCAGCTCCTAGTTCCCCCATCTACTTGCAGGTGTGACTCTGGTGCCTCAATTTCTTCATATGTAGAACATGGAAAATAATGCTGAGGTCACAGGAATTTATAGAAATTAAATAAGCCAATATACATATAAAACTTCAAAAGGGGCTAGTACAGGTTAAGTGTACTCAAGGACGAGTAACAACTGCTCCTGCAATTATTATTAGTTGCCTCATAACACAGTTTGGGCAACACTAAACTAAAAAATCCAAAGACAGTAAGAATGTTGGGCGAGATATGTAATTTCTCTTGTCCTTACCTTTTTTTTTTTACATCTATAAAGTTAAGTGGTTGGAGTACAGCAGCACCTTTCAAACTTTTGACCATGACACAAAATAATAAATTCATTTGAGATCATGAGCTACTATATACTAATATATAATTACACGATTAAGTTTTTATATATATTCATATAACTAAATATTTTTTTTCTCAAAATAACAGTGTCCTTACTATCACTAAAGCATTCTGAATTTTCTAGTCTGTTCTCCTTTTTTTTTTAAGCTGGTTGCAATACACAAAACTAATTTTCAAAACATAACACTGGGGACTACAATATCTCTGAGGAGCCTTCCAATACAAGGTACTCATTTTCAAATTAGCATTCAAAGGCTGTGGATATCTGTCAGTTTCACCTAAACTCCCTCAAACCCTATCACAGCCTTCAGTAAATTTTAAGGACACTAGTATTCTAATGGGCATTTCAGTGCTTACAATAATAATAACTGAACCAAGTACACTTTTCAAATTCTAATAAACTTTGCATGAGTTTGTTTTTCTAAATTGTAGTCCCTTTTGTGTCCAGAGTGACTCAGAAAACATCTTTGATCTTCAAACAACTGTAGGGTTTTATTTTGTTTTTTTTTTTTTAAATAAAGGGCTTACTTTCCAGTGACATTTGAGTACTTACATGTCAATGAAAGAGTAAGATTTAGAAAATTATTTGGAACTTTTTAAGAGACAATTTGCAATCTCCAGAAAAATCTGACATTCAACAAATGCTGCCTCATTGCTTTGTTCTTTGCTTGTGAATCACATTTAAAAATCAACATTGATTTAATTGTTCTGGGACTCCTTTCAAATCCAATCCATATTTTTAATCTCGTTTGGTAGGGATAACTACATAATATGAAAAAATCCTAAAATAAAGAGGAAAAAGATCTGTGACTTCACAAATTCCATTCCAAGCCCCATTCCTTACTCTCTGACCTTGGGTTAGGTACTTCAGCTCTCTACCTCAGTTTCTTCATTTATAAGATGACTACCTACTTCATGGGATTGTTTCCTGAATTACTGTCTAATCACTCTGAATGGTGCCTAGCAGGGAAGCATCCAATAAGCCATGACCAAGATTATTCTCTTGTGTTATGTGAAATTAAGGTAAAGACTAAAAGTTTCCCACCCAGTTCTAAAAGTTTACCTAAAAGCTACTAGCAGAGTGAGGGTTGAACTTCAGCCCCTACTTTATGCTCTAAAATGCAAACCAAGGTTAGCTGACAAAAATGAAGAACAAGGGAGGAAACAAAGATGACACATAAGACAGAGATTTTTAAGTATCCATTCAGGTGGTTTTTGATAATGGCAGAAAACCAGTTCAATTTCACCAGCAGGAATGATTAATTCATTCATTAATTAGTGCCCCCTCACAAATCCCAACAAGTATCAGAGACGGAATCACTGTTTTATAGTATAATAGCTCTGACAAATTACAAGAACAAGTAGAATCTAGCTTTGAATCTATCTCATGAATAGAAATACTCAAAAAACACCAGTTTTATTCTACCACAGATTAAATATGCACAAGGCCTGGGAAGGTGGTCTGTGCGGAGTCCTGATCTACTGACTGAAATTATACATGGTAAAAATATTCAAACACAGCATCTAATTTTGAAGGATAACAACTTGCTATTAGTGATAAATTATATTTTCATTATAAATGTCATGGCATCAACATGAGGACATATCCTGAACCCCTAGCTAGGAAAATTTAAAACTTCTTGGTGGCAATTCAATAATAATCATTCATGTATGATCTCACAATGGAAATGGAAAATGCTATCACTAAAAATCTAATTTTGTCTTTTCCCTAAAATTAAGGCTAAAAGATGGGTTGATCACCCTGGCCTGCTCCCTCCTCTGTAACATTATCTAAAAAGTCCATTTTAAGGGCAGGACAGAATTTCCACCTAGTACTATGTTCATTCACCCATCAATTTCCCAGATAAAGTAAATGTACACAGTGAACCCCAACCAAGGAAAATTCTCTAAGAGAAAAAAATCTACATCCTTCTAATAAGTCTTTCCCCTACAACAGCTTTCATTTATTGCTCATTTTAATATAGAACAGTTGTTAAAATATATTTTAAGTTTTAAAACTGTATTTTGAATATTTCTTCCAAGATCCATTTTACTAAAGATCTGTGTGTATGTTTTTTTAAATATACTTCTGAGGTTATTAGCATTGCAGAATGGCCTTCAAAATGCAAAGACTGCTTAGGTTTTATAATCAGACTGTTTTTTAATCTCTTCCATGTCAAAACTGGGGTACCCTGAAAAGCCAAAAAATATATATATAATATGCACCAAAAGTCATGGACTTCAAGGGAATGAGTTACAAAGAGAGTCTTGCCTTATCATCTCTTCCTCTTGCTCTATAATCCTTGTCTCTACCTGTAGAGGGTTTTTCACTCTTGGATATAGGATGTGCTCGGCCTACAGGTCCCCGGCCTCCTATTCCTGGCATTTCTTTCCTCAGAGGTCTTACTTCTCGATTGGGACGCCTTATCTGAGGTGGAGCTCTGACAAGAAAAAATTAAAATGAAAATTAATCAAAGGCAAAAATATTTCAAACTACTTTAGTCAATAAAACTATTAAATCAAGAAGTCCCAAATCTCAGTTGGTTCCCTTTTGCCAATTCACGGCTGTAACTATTAGGTCAGTTTCTAAAAGTATTTTTCTTGAGAAAAAAAAAAAAGTGCTTTTCTGTAAAACATACCAGTTGACACAATTTTTAAACACAAATAAATATGTATAACTGCAACTACTTTGTCAAAAATAACTAATCACCAACAGAGGGCAATACAGACTATTTCCATCTAATAATAGTGTAATGGAAAGCCAATTACTTTATTCATTACTATCCTAAGCCAAAACTAAGTAACTTAAAAAACAAACCAAAGCATATGAAACTAATATAATATTAAGTGTCAATTACACTTCAATTTTTACAAAAGCATTAAAAGCTGAAAGGAGAGGATTCAAAATATGTCTATCTGCATAGTTTATTAATTTATTGACAATCAAAATGATTTCCTCTGCTTCCTTACTGGAAAATCCAACATTTCAGTCATCAAATTAGTAGGCTAAACAATGAAATCTTTTTATATACAAATTAATTTATGTGTGAAAATGTTATTCATGTTCTGACAGTGTCAAAAGTAATCACAGGAACATTCAAATTACATAGGCTCCCACATGTGAATTAAGAGCTTCGATAACTATGGTGGTGAAGGATGTTAGCTAAACAAGTATATAACTTGGAATCCAGCAAAACAGGAAAATAAGATGAAAAGCCAGGAAGGATGCAAACTCGAGGCAACAAAGGTGAAAGACTGTTGACATATTGCAGGTCTAATAGAGCATCATCAGACTGTTGGAATTAGACCACTACATGAAACTGCTAAGGATAAGTGAAGCTGGTGAAAACTGGATGTCTGTCCATTAGGTTATAACATGCTGACATCGGAATCCTTGGAGTTCAGTCCAGCTAAACAAGTATTTGACCACCTATTAGGAGGTATATGGCCACTAGTTTGCTAGGCCCTGGGAGGAGACAAAGATGAATAAGCAATCTTGTGAAAGAAATCACAGAAAAGGAAATCACAGAAAATAGCGTATAGTACAATGGCTACAAGGCATTTTCAAATATAAAGATATTATTGTGGTATTAGTTCTAGTGCATGATTAGTCTCTTAAGTATCTGCCAATAAAATAAACATGTGATGAGACTGATTAAAAAAAAAAAACTAAAAATGTTACATGCTCTATTCCTACTATTTCATTGCAACCACTATTTTTTGACTGAACTTTTGTTCTATTTTGATGAAGGAGTGGAAAGTAGTAGAGCAGAACTTTACTTTTATTTTTATACATTTGTGCATGCATAAATGTCTTTCCTGAATCAGACCCACGGGTAAGGCCAAAGACAATAAAATGAGAGCAACAATCTCCTCCACAGAGAACACGCGTCAAGTTTGCCCTTCTGTTAGCAGCTGCACCGGCTATTCAAATAGTCCGTCATTGTTTGTGGGTCTGCTTTTTAGACGCACAGCCGGCCTGAAGCTTTTTGCTCCCCAACAGCAAGCCCGTCCCTTCCAGCTGCATGCCAGGCTGCTCATCAGCTGCTGGGTTTGCCCCGCTAGGCCTCACTGCTTAGGGCTGAATGGTAGAGAATCCTGAAACACTTCTGCCTTCTCAGCTTGTGCTTTCCCCACTTCGGCTTGCTATTTAACAGTCGCTTTGGAGTCCTGTGTAGTCCATTTTGCACACACATTCGGCTCAGGAAAGCTGTGCTGGGAGAAGAATTATTTCAAAGCTCTTACACAGGCTGCATTCCAAGTGCTTGCGGCTGCTGACCTTGTCCTGCCACTCAATATTCTGATAGGCTCATAAATGGTCTGAATGAAACCACTCGGGAAGCCAGATGTGCCTGGTGGCAAGTCACATATCTCCCAGAAAGTGTGCCTGTGTCTGTGAGTCTTCAGTTCCATCTCACTGCAGGTTGACATTACATTTGTAACAGACTCTGTCAGCTTCCCAAAGGACATCCTTGATTCTGCTCTGTACTTCGTCCATTAGCGCGTCACTGCACAATGTCATGCTTCAATTTAAGGACTCGGTGACAGCTTCCAAGCTGGGTAAAAAATAAGTCTCAAGGCTTCTTTTACTGGCCTCTTTTGAAAGAGAGACGTCAGTAGGTTTACAAAGCATCATCAACCTCTGCCCTGATCGTCAAAGAGAAGACGACACTGTACTTACTAGCTCCCAGTATTCCAAATGTAGAGAACTGCTGGTAGATGTGCAGACCAAAGACTGGGTGGTCTACACTATGCTCAGTTCTCCTCTATTGCCCTCTAGGAATGGGAAGAAATAGGCCTTTTTCTATCATACGCAAATAAGCCTAATCTCCTCCAAAATCTAGGATTTCTTCTTTCTAAGCCATATTAACTATCAATATTATATGTAAATGTTCTTATCAGCACTGCTTGTAATAGCAAACACCTGAAAACAACCCAAAGTCCAGTATCAGAACAGATACATAAATTATTATATATTCACATAATGGATCCAATATACATGTGAACATGAATTATAACTACATGCAACAACAACAGATGAATCTCAGGACCCTTATGTTGAGTGAGAAAGTAAGTTCAAAGGACACACAGAGTAGGCAACATAGGATACCGTTTGGGGACACAAATATATGTACTAAAAGTAAAGAGAAGCAAGGGAACAATAAATCCCAAGTTCAGGACAGTGTCTTACTCTGAAAGGGGAGGAGGACAGAATGCAGAGGGACTCATAGGGGGTGTTCAAAGGTAATAGTACAGTTCTTTATCTTAAACTCCTTGGTGGGTACATAGAAGCTACTGTATTGTGACTCCTTATACCTTACATAAATTTTAATTATTCACATTATCTACTCAGTAGTTAATAAAACTTTAAATGTGATTGTACTACAACAACACTAAGTAAAAGATCTGAGCACCTAAAAAGTGAAATTATAGAGTTGCTACAAAGTTTCTGGCATGTTCCAGAAATACACATGTCCTAGTGACATGGGCTCAGAGTTCATATCCTTAGTTGACCTACTAGATTACTGCCTGGCAAATCTCCATAAAACATCAGGCAACAGAGAGAAAACTGTCTTATGTCTGTATTATAGCACCACTCTTCTGTGGTTCCAGAAGTCAAAGGGAAAAAGACCTCTTTCAAAGAGGCCCTTCATTCCACACCATATTAAGAAACAGGGTCTAAGATACTAACACAATTTTCTCCAATTGTTATACAGGTTCCTTCTTAAGATTCCTAACTATTGAGCTATATTTCTTCTAGCATTCTGCTTAATGATTATTCTAATTTTTTTGTTCATACATTGTTAGAATGCTGGTATAAGAATAAGTAATTTAGAACAAGTCCTAGATATGCCCAAGAACATAAGCCAGATTGCTTAAAGTTAACTTCCGGAAAAGAAAGCAAAATAATTTTATTTTGCTATTATATTAATCTATAACCTATAACTCCAGAAATAAACAATGAAACATCTCTTTCCCTATCTAATAAAAAGATAAGAAACATAAGTTCCAATTAGTTCATAATGATACTTTGCTATAAGAACTTGGAGTCAATATATGAGACTTCTGAGTCCAAGAGAAATTGTTTGTTAAGAAATCAGGAGGCAAAAAACAAAGCTTAAACAGAAATGAGAGGACCTATGATTTGAAATCAAACATTAAAGATTAAGAATTTTAATGTCCACTCTCATCAAATACATGACTGCTATTTTTTCAAATCAGTAAAGTTATTATTTACCTAATAAGTATAGGAACTGTGCTGGATGTTATATTGACATAAAAACACTGCAAATCACTATTCCTAACTTCACAGAAAAACAGCATGGTGATCTGAAGTCAGCATTAGACTTAGAATCTGAAAACCTGGGTGGCTTTTTACTCCCAGGTCCACCAATTACTGATTATATAAGCCTATCACTTAACATCTATAAGCCTCACGTTCTCCCTCTGTCGGTGGAGATGATAATACTTCATAAAATTTGTAAATCTATTTTTCATTGATATAACATATGTTCAGTAAAATGTACATATATTACACAACTCAATAAATTTTAATACCATATAACAACCTGTAGATGAAGACATAGAACATTTCCCGCTATCCCAGAAAGCTTTTTCATGGTTCCTCTTAGCCAGTGTCAGCCGGTAAGGTCAGCACTATTCTGACCTTATTATCATGGATTAGTATTGCCTATCTCAGTTTCAGAAAAATGGAATCCTACGGTACATACTTTGTACTTGGTTTCTTTCTTTCAACATTACCTGTGAAATTTATCCATGCTCCTGCAAGTAGCATGAGTTTATCTTTCTTCAATGTTGTGTAGTATTCTATTGTATAAATATAATTACAATTTATCTATTCTACTGTTCATGAGCACTTGAGCTGTTTTCCATTTGAGGGTATTATTAAAGCTTCTATGAATACGGGGATTATGTTCATGGTAAACATAAGCATTCATTTCTTTGGAGTATGTACCCAGGAATAGAATTGCTGGATCACAGGGTGTATATATAACATTAGCTTTAGTAAATAGAGCCAAACAATTTTCCAAAGTGGTGATGCCATTCTACACTCGCATCCACAATGTATGAAAGTACCAGTTGCTCCATCCTAACCATTCTGGTGGGGTGTAATGGTATCTCATTGTAGCTTTACTTTGCCTTTCCTGAACGACTATGGATGTTGGGCACCTTTTCAACAATACACTTACTGGCCACGTAAATATGGTGTTTATGTTTTAAGTATGAAACATACTCTTTTGCAGAGTAACTTATTCCAGTCCTTAGTACACTTTTTTTTTTCAATCAGCTGACTTTTTCTTATTAACTGTCATTCTTTATATATTCTAGATACAAGTCCTTTGTCAGATATATGCATTGCAAATATCTTCCCCTAGTATATGGCTTGCCTTTTCACTCGCTTAATGGTGTATCCCCTCAT